GATGTACCCCCCCCCCCCCACACACACACACAGAGAGAGAGAGGGAGGGAGGGAGGGAGAGAGAGAGAGACCGACACACACACCAGGAGAGCATTTCCTGTGTGTGGCTGGATGGCAGGAGAGCGACGAGTTGGTGGTGTGTTCGGCCAAGAAGCGCATCATGGAAGACGGCACTCGGTCCACTAACCCCAGATACCTCCAAGTACCACCCCAGCCACACACACACACACACACCGTCCGCACCATTTCTCCCTCTTTCTCCCTGTGTGTGTGTCAATGTGTGCAGGTGCGGAGTGACGTGACCCGTCTGCAGGACCGCTACATCGGCGAGGTGCAGACGCGCTTCCACAGGATGCTCCCACTCGCGGAAAAAGTCGTCTTCCCTGTCAACAAGTACGTAAACATGGCTGCATGCTTCTTCCCACCCACCACCACCAGACAACATCTGTGCTGCTTCTCTGCCTGCCATCGATCAGTGTCTTGTCCGGCCGCCGCAACAACATCCGTGAGCCGACGGTGCCCGCCCTCTGCTGCTACGGGCCCATCCACTTCCAAAAGATGCCCGAACTCTTCATGGACGTACGGTCACACCCTCCCTCCCCGCTGCCCTCTCCCTCTCTGCGCATCGATTTCTGTGCGTGTGTGTGTGATGGGTGGGTCAGTACATCACGTCGGTTACGGGGAAGTCGCCGAGCACCACGGGGTTTGGGAGTGAGGGTGCGCTGACCAAGGGGCCCTTCAACGCACTCCGGTTCGCCGCCGACCTCAACAGCACTTTTGTGTCGCTCATGCTCACCGGCTACCATGGTAAGTAGTAGCAATTGCCACAACACACACACACACGCACACGCACACACACACACACCGAGAGACAGGGAGAGGGAGAGAGAGAGAGAGAGAGAGAGAGACGGTGCCAACCGTGTGTGTGTGTGTGCGTGTGTGCAGGCTACTCGACGGCAGCGGGCTACATCGGTCCCAACTACCGTGTGGACCACGACGTCTCGCTGCTGATCCCCGAGATCTGGTGTCGCCTCAGCCACAACGAGAGAAATGCCGACGAGATGATCAAAGGCGGATACCTCGGTACGTAACCACTCACAGGCACCCCACATACGCGATGAATGCGAGACGACCATCGGTGCTTGCGCCTTCTGTGTGCTGTGCGTGGTCAGAGGAGCTGCAGGATTTCGACTACGACGGGCGCAAGGTGCTGGCCTCCCGACTCGGCTACCGCATCACCGGCAAGTTCGTCAGCACCTACTTCGGAAGGGTCTTTGAGAACCCTGTAAGCACACTGCACCCTCTCACACACACACACAAAGAGAGAGCGAGACAGATGGATGGATGGATGGCTGGCTGGCAGGACAAGGTATTCACTGAGGAGATGTTGAAGCCGGAGCTGCAGGACCTGGCCAACTTCGTCGAGGGCGTCGACAACCTCATGATCTCCTACGAGAGAACCGCAAACCTCTACCTGCAGGTCGGTGGGCGAGTCGATGACGAGAGAGAGAGAGAGAGAGAGGGAGGGAGAGGGAGAGGGAGAGTGGTGTGTTGGGGCGTGTGTATGTTCAGGACGGCACTGTTGAGGATTTGATTCCCCCGCTGAAGGCGTTGGTGCACATCATGGCCACGGGGGCGTACGAGGGCAAGGACGTCAAACACCCTGACATACAGGCCATGTTCACCTAGTAAGACTGCACACACACTCACGGACACCCACACACACAAAGGGAGAGGGAGCGAGAGATGGTGTGTATTGGGCTCATTCCTGTGTCGGTCGGTCGGTCGGTCGGTCGATGTGATTGTCAGTGAGTCGATGATGTCGTCAGAGTGGTACAAGAAGCGCCTGCAGACCAAGCAGTACATCGACGTCAGATTCTGGAAGAGAGCCATCCACTACATGGAGGTCAGCAAGACAAACCAACACACACAACACCCTCCCTCTCTCCCTCTCCCTCTCCCTCTCTCTCTGTGTGTGTGGTGCAGGCCTATCTGTCAAGTCCTGTGATGAACAAGGAGCACGGCCCCGCCCGCCACAATCTCGACATCAAGGGCCGCATGGCGTTCGCCCGCGCACAGCTCGAGCACGTCAGCAGCCCAGACTACCTCAAAGAGCTCAAGGGCACCATTGGCGCCGACCCCACTCTGCTCTGCGAGTACGAAAGCACACGCACAGAGAGAGCGTGGCGAGAAATGATGCCTTTGTGTTGATGTGTGTGTTGGTGTTGCAGCGACAACGAGCTTCTCCTTCACTCGCCGAGTGCGCGGCTGATGGCGCCCGCCACGCGATTCGGGTTCTCAAACACCAAATGATCCATCCATCCATCCATCCATCCACACACAGACGTAGCGAGCGAGACGGGCATTTTGATGGACGGGACAACCGAGACGGTGCGTAAGTTGCGGAGACAGTAGTTTTTGCCCTTTTTTGGGTAGCGGATTCGGTGGGTGGGTGGGTGGCGGTGTCTTTCCGACGGTGAGGCACCGAGGTGCGTGGTGTATGTGTGAGACTGCGTGAGGGTGTTTGCTTGAACTCACGCAGCAACCAACAGCCGATCTACCTACCTGCCTGTCTGTCTGTCTATCTGTCCATCTGTCTCATGATGCTTAGGTGGAGTGCGTGTGCATCTCTCTCTCTTTATGAGACAGACGTACGGAGGTGCGTACACACATACATACACACATACATGCGACTCGTGTAAGTGGAAGTGTTTTTCTGCTGCAGCGCATGGGTGGAAACAAACGTGACGTGACCTTTTGTCTGTCGAGCAGCCTGGCGATGGATCGATTCTTCACTCATTGACTGATTGACGAGGCTGGCTATTTTTCCTGCCTGCCTGCATCCTCAGTGTGTGTTCCTGATCGCTATGGCGACGCACACACACCGACCACACACCACAGCACAGCACACCACAGCACTGCACACCGGATTACTGACAGCACCCAGAGAGAAGTGGTTTAATGACCTGCCCTGACCTGGCTGCCTGATCACCAGAGAGAATGAAATGAGGAGAGGGCTTACCCCTCTTTGCGCAGAGAGACGGAGATATGGTACCTGGGTGTGGTCGGATGGTGCATCGCTGTCCTGTAGGCGAGCCTTCCTTGCTCTGGGATGTGCCCGTCGATTCAGAGCGGGAGCACCCAAGAGCAAGGGCGGCATGCTGGCAGGCCAGGGATGCGCCACACACACACACACGCACAGAGAGAGAGAGACAGAGAGAGAGTTGCTACTGCAACGGGGCTGTTTTCGGTCTACTGGCTGACATCTCGCTGATACGCACACAGACAGAGAGAGGTCGACAGTGTTGCTGCCACGCACCCTACATGAGCTGCAGCGATCCCAGCGCTGTGGCCTTCACGCAAAGGCCGCAACGCACAGATGGCTGCTGCTGACATAGGGTGCGTGGCACTGCAACAGCACACCCACGCAGAAAGACTGAAGACCTGATTTTCCGACCGCCTCAGGAGAGAGAGAGAGGGTGGCGGGAGAGAGCGACTCAGCTTACTCGGCTAGCTCAGATTTTTCGACCGGCCGGCCGGCTGGCAACTGGTTGACCTGACGAGTGGAGGGACGGAGGGAGGGAAGTTTCGATGCGCGCGCACCAACAAGATCGGCTGACTTGAGTGGTGCATGTGTGCGTGTGGGGGTCGCCTCCTTTTTAGGCGACTCTGGATGATGGCTCTGCTTCGGGAAGGGCGAGGAGGATATGGGCGTCAGTCAAAAGTGCATTCGTGAGTGGTGGGTTGGGTGGGGACGGAACGGAATCGATGATGGAAAGGATTCCGACCTTCATTCCAGGGTAGGACGTGACTGCACGCGACTGTCTATTGGATTGGACACATCGATGGATGACAGACAGAGGTGCTTGTAGAGCCGATACGATACACGGCAAACAGTGAACACACAAAGCCAACAGACGACGCAAGCAGCAGGCAGCCTTACGGGTCTACCTGCCTGCCTGGCTGCCTTATGTCCTCGTCACACCGAAAAACTACCTACACAATCTCACTTACCTAATCCGTCCAACTGCTTACTCATCGAATGCCACACGCACACACACACACACGCACGCACGCACGCACACAGACCCATCTTCCTCTTCCTCACACACACACACGACAAACAACACCACAAACCTCTCTCTTATGCTCTTTCTCTTATCTGTTCGCCCCGTCCGTCAGGGTGCCATGTGCCTGTCCCCGCCCCCATTGTGGGCCACCCCGCTGCCCTCATCCCCCTCCGCCCCAGACGCTCCCTCTCCCTCCCCCTCCGCCTCATCGTCGTCCTCGTACCCTCCCTCCTCATCCTCATCTTCCTCTGCATCGTCCATGGCGCCCTCCTCGGCTTCGGGCGGATTCCAACCGTTGTGCTGCACACACAGAGAGAGAGGGACAGGCAGGGCTGGAGGGTGCTGGAAGGGAAGGAGGTTAAGGGGAGGTTTGGTTACATACATACCGGGTTGACGAAGAGGGTGTCGTCGTCATCGGGCCCCCCCTCTTGCAGCATGTCAGGGTCGGGGTGCAGCGCCGCCATCTCACTCATCGCACGGAACAAATCGTCCAGACAACTGGTGAATGAATGAACAGATCATCAGATGCATGGATGGATAGGATGACTGACGCCTGTGTCTGTGTGTGTGTGTGTGTGTGTGTGTGGGTGCATACGTCTCGTCCTGCGGTATGAATCTCATCTCGTTGAGGGCGTCAAAGTCGTCCCCCTCGCCGCCCTCCTCCTCTTCGCCAGCAGCAGCAGCAGCAGCCGGCGGCCGGTCCGCCTTGAGCTGGCAGTAGATGCACGGCTGCGGAAAGGCCTCTACACACCACATACACACACACAGAGAGAAAGGTCCATCCACTCCACCACCCATTCCCCGTGTGTCTGGATCCCTCACGTGGGTCTCGTGAGATGGCGTGGAGTATGATGACGGGGTAGTCGAAGGCCATGCCCTTGTCCCTGTCGTCGGAGGACAGCCACACGACCCTCTGGCTGGTGATGTAGAGCGACCCCTGGCCCTCGTCGCTGCCATTGAACCACAGCCGCGTGCCGCCCTGCTCACGCGTCAGCGACTCGTCCGGCTGGAGCACCAGCGCGTTGTCGTCAGTTCTGTGCATCGACGTCAGACGCTCTATCGGCATCATTCACAGGCAGATCAATGAGATAAACAAGGAGGCGAGGGATGAAAGATCCTGCCTGGCTACACGTCGCGTAGCCTCCCGGAAGCCCGTTTGGTTCCAGGCAATCGATCAAGCTCGCAGGCAAGGGCATTGCGTGAAACCGCTGCTGCGGTGGTGCACAGGAACACTTGCCAGGAATACATCCCGGCTCCCTGTGCTAAGTGAATGAGTGAGAGTCCCGTGCCGATGGAGGGGATCTCCCCCTCCCGCTCCTCGAGGCGGTCAGCCCGACCCTCACACGGCAATATCTCCCACTGCCGCGAGCGCCGGCTGCTGGCCTTCCTGCAACACATGCAGGCCATGGTCGGCAAGCACGGCTGCGGCACACCCATCCCTGAGGACGAGCTGCGGCAGGCACCTCAGCCACCACCGACGAACTGTTCATCTGACGAGGATATGTCAAGAGCCGAGAATACAAAGTTCAAGGTGTTCATCCGCAGAGGAGTCGGAGGGGAGGAGGACACCGGCGGCGGCGGCGTTATTGTGTGTCTGGACGACATCAAGTCACAGGTCGGCCTGGCATGACACACACACACACACACACAATGGTGATATGCATTATGTCTGCAATGGTGGAACCGATGTGATGTGTGCAGGTGTCTAGCAAGAGCAACCGAGCGTTTCGGCGGTGGGGGTGCGACCGGTTTCTGTTCACCAGCAGCGGGATGGCCGAGGACGACGAGCGGATGGACGGCGAGCCCATCGAGAGCTTCGTGCTCGCCGGCAGGACCTATCGATTCTTCATGCCCAGATCCGACAAGGTGAGTCTGTCAGTCAATCAATCAGCTGGGCACCCATGGCTGCACTCATGTGTGTGTGTGTGTGCGTATGTGTGTGTCAGAATGACAGGAACAACTCGTGCAAGGCCATCTATTTCGCAGAGGAGGTCGCCGGTAAGTCTTACTTTCACCAACGAATTGGCGGATCCCTCTTTCCCTTCGTGCCTCGTCCATTAGGTGCCCCTCACGTGACGGTCGACCAGCTGCGCCACTGGCACATGTACCTATATCCAATAACCACTCGCACACCACCGCCACACACACACCTCATGTGTCTGTCGTGTCCTTCCTGCAGCCCCCTCTACCACCCCCATCTGCCATCCCCGCCTCCCCTTCTAGACCAGGCCAACCTCAACGCCCAGCAGAGGGCCATGATCGTCCAGGCAGCCGGCGGGGCCAACATGGCCATGGCCTGGCCCAAGTTCCTGGCGCGGTTCGCACTGCTCCTCTCGGGCACCGTTGAGACGTCAGAGGTGGCGCCGCTGTGGGACAGTGGGAGTGGCCTGCCGCGGGTGCGATTGACGGAGGACATCAGGGGGGCGGATGGCCAGACGAGCCTCTCGGATGGATGCTCACGTACGGCGGGAGGGGCTGAGTGAGAGAGGGAGGCTGTGTGTGTGTGTGTGTGTGTGTAGGTTTGGGTGTTGGTATGGCCCGTGAGTTGTATCGTTTCTGGTATTGGCGGCAGCACCCCCAGCTGTCGGACGAGCAGATCAAAGACCACATCGACCGATGCTGCACACACGTTGAGCAGCTGCCATCTTACATACAGGCAAGACACCCCTCCCTCCCTCCCTCCATCCATCCTTCCATGTGTGGGTGTGTGTCAGTTTCGGTACCGTGCTGCCAAGGGTGTGTTGGCGGTTGACGGCAGCATGGACAACGTCATGGAAATTTTGACCGACAACCAGCTCAAGTACGACCTGGGGCTCAAAGAGGTCCTCAGACTCAGAGGCGCCGTCTCACAGCCGGAGCTGACCCTAGACAAGGCGCACACACACATAGAGGTAAGATGCTGCCATGCTGACGTGCAGACAGGCACAGTCGACACACACACATACACACACAGATGGATGGATGGATGGATGGATGAGTGCTTTATGTGTCTGTCAGGTGTGCAAGGTTGGCCCTACGATGGAGGAGCTGCTGCGAGAGTCATATCTCGACACGACCGAGGGCGCCTCGCTGTCAGTGGAGGTCGTATGGGTGCTCTGGGAGCGGGGCGTGCCCGTGGAGGTGTTCAAGCGACTTGTAGACCCTGAAGTGAGCATCCCACCACCACCTCTCCCCTCCCCGTCATCAATCAGCACAGAATGTGTGTGTCGTGCATATGTGTGTCTGTCTGTGTCAGATAGCGAGCATAGAGGCTTTGTACAAGCCCGAGGGCCGGCAGGAGCTCTATCGTCGTGTGATTAGCACCAACACGGACGACAAGCAGGCGGGGCTCTACGGGAGAGTGGCGCAGTTGCTCAAGGCAGGCATCACCATGAGTCAGTGAGACATCACCCCTCCCTCCCTCGCTCCCTCCCTTGATCCATCTCTCTCTCTCTCTCTCTGTATGTGTGTGTGTGTGTGTGGGTGTGGGTGTAGATGAGCCTTATCTGATGGAGATGGTGCACCAGGTGGCCAAGTGTGCCCTCGACAGGCTGCGCGACAAAATGCACATCAGGTGTCCCTCGTCTGCTCGATTCATCATGGTCGGCCCGGCCACCAAACACTCGCGACACATCGCAGACAACACACCACACCACACCACTCCGTGGTGTGTCTTCAGGTGCCTGACTACACGCGAAGGCTGCAGGCCAATGAGTGTTACGTGCTGGTGGGCGGCCGGCCCTTTGTCGGCCATGTGGTGGCCTGCAGAAACCCTGTCCGGCAGCCAGAGGAGCTGCTGGTGCGCCACACACACACACACACACACACACACATCCGCCAAACAAGACGACGGACACAACATCTGTCTCGGTGTGTTCTGTGTGACCCCCAGTTGCTGAACGCCGTGTCGACGCTCGATGACGTGCCGCTCACCGAGCGGACGCGCAGCTACGCGGGATTGCTGGTGCTTTCTGCACATGAATCGCTCGAGCGGAGCCCGGCTGACCTGATGGGCGGGGGCGACTATGACGGCGATGAGGCGTGGGTGTGCTGGAACCAGGACATTGTCGCGCCCATCGTCCAGAGAGGCAGCAACGACCGGCACAACCACCCGTAAGTAGGAAATGATGCACAAGCACCGTGCACGTGAGGTGGTCATCCGTGCGCTGTATTTCCTGTGGGCTTAATTTGCAGGCCTTTCGACCCCTATGCCGCTGGGCTGGCGCGCAACTACTACACCCCCAATGGAGGCGACAAACCCGAATCGTAACCACACCAGACAAAAATACAACAACACCCAACATGAAGTCACCCGCTTTGTGTGTGTCTGTCTCTGTCTGCTAGGGTGAAAGATCGCCTGGAGAGGAAGGCTCATCAGCTGGTGCAGAACGACCCCACCCTAGGTCAGCCTGGGCGTCTGACGTTGGGCCAGGTGCTGCACGAGTGTCTGCTGGACGAGGCGCATGCGAGGCGTGGCGGCAGCCAGGTGGGGCTGCTGTCTTACCAGTGGTTTGTGCTGTTGGAGAAGAAAGGCATGAGCGACCCCACGACCAGGATGCTCGGCCAGCTTTGTGCGCTGGTAGGGAAGCCCCTGCGTGGCCTGTCTGGCACACGTGTGTGTGTGTGTATGGGCTGTGTGTGTGTGCAGGCGATGGATAGCTCCAAGACGGGCTTCCAGGCCGACATGAAGAAAGTCGACGACCTGTACGCAACCATCCATCCATCCACACCAGAAAAGACGCCCACACATCCACCTCTCTCTCTCTCTCTCTCTCTCTGCCACGAGTACAGAGTCGGCCCCTACAGCGGCCGGCCCATCTGGCGAGGCAAAGGCAAAGGCCGACCCCTCGACAATGGCTCAGTGCTCTCTCAGCTGTGGAAGCACATCGGCCAGCACCGGGCCAGTGAGTGGCGTCACAAGTACCTCCCCTGGACGAGGAGCGACTTCTCGAATCTCGACACACAGCAGTTTTTCATCCTCCGGGCCGATCCCGACATCTGCCGGATTGCTGAGGGCGGGGGCGGGGCGGGGCCGGGCGGTTTGGAGGAGTGGGCGGCTCACCTGTTGACCGAGTGAGCTAGAGAGCGGGGGGGCGATTGAGGGAGGGAGAGGCGTGTATTGCTCTCTGTGTTTGCGTTGGATCTTTCAGGGAGTTCAAAGCGATCCGGGAGGAGGTGGGCGTTGGCATGACAAGGCGGCAGGGTACGCACGCAAAAAGTGGATCACTGCACACATGCCATCTTTGCCTGCGCTCCCTTCGTGCTTGTCTGTTCCACAATGCCGCTTGCTTGGTCGTTCCTGCAGCCGACGAGTCGCCACCGAAGAGTAGCTTAGCTTCTCCCTCTACACACGCACTGATACACATGTGTACACTCCCTGTATGGTATACTCTTTGTGTCCAGAGGCCCGCCTCTCAGCGGCCTCCACCCAAACCACCCAGAGCCAAAGCGCTGCAGCAGCCGGCTCATCCACACGAACGGCCTCGCCATCTTACAGCGAGAAAAAGGCAGCCAAAATCGAAAACCGCAACACCGATCGCAAGTGGCAGCAGGTGTACGCGAAGCTGAGGGAGCGCGTCGCCGACAAGGCCAGGGAGGAGGCGGCCAAGGTCGGCGTGATGATGAGGCAGGATTTGGTGGAGGTGCTGGCAAAGGAGTGTGAGAAGCGGTGCATGTCGGCTTTGTACCAGTATGAGATGTCCCAGAAGAACCCCGAGAGTGCCGCCAGATATCAGTGATCCGATGGATGCACCGCAACCGACCGGAGAAGGGATGTGTGTCTGTGTGTCTGTGCCGGTGTGTTATGTGCAGGCGTATCAATGAGACCGTGTGGCGAATTGGTATGGGTGTGTTGCTGTCCATCAAGAGGCCCAATGAGTTTGACTGGTTCGCTCCTTCCGAGCGGGAGTACCTCACCATCAAAGTCAGGCGATGACCGGTCGGTCAACTGGGCCGACACCACACACACACAGACAAGTGTGTTGTGTAGCCAGTGAGTTGCCGTGTGTAAGATTTTTGTGTCTAAGGCGTTGAGTAAGGCCTCAGGGTGGTTGGAGGGGTGACTGAGTGGAGAAATGACTAATGGAGTGGGTCAGCCTTTTTCTCCTGCCTGCCTACTGATGCAGGCAATAGACTCAATGCATCCACAGACACATAACGTCTTCGATGTAATGCGTGTATGTGTGTCTTGCCGACAAATAAAGTACACCCACTCACGCACGCACTGACGCACCCATACATAGACGAACTCTACGCACATACAAACATGACGCGGCCGACTGTCCGTCAATGTCCCTCGGTCTGTCTGTCTGTCCTCTGTGTGTGGGCGCATATTTGTGTCATCTATCGAGAGGACGGGTGGGTTGGGGCCATGGCCGTCGTACAGGGGAGGCATCATAGGGCTACAGGGGTAACCTCCTCTGGTCATACACCCAATTGGCAAACTGAATGAACACCACACACATCCACACACAGACCGAGAGAGAGAAATGGCCTGTATGTGTGGCTTTGTGCCAATCCATCCATCCCATCCATCCCATCCATCCCGTCTGTGTTGTGTTGTGTGTACATGGCTGATTCCCGGTAGGTTAAATATCCATCCGATGGATGTGAGTTTGAGCGACGCGACCACATTGGGGAGGAAGGCGCTGAACAGAAACCACATCCCTACCATCTCTACCAACAAACCTAAACACAGACGGATGGATGGGATGGGTGGCAGACAGATGCACACACATGACAGCAGACAGAGGATCGACAGATGCGCTCAGCAGCATGGCGTGTGTGAGTTGGGCGTGCGGCCAGCCAGCCCACCGAGTATACACCATCCGTAAATGATCAAACAGAATCCACCGAAAAACAATGATGTCCCTGCACACACGTGGAGACCAGAGGGCACACATAAGACGGTATGTGCGTGTTCATCCATCCATCCCCTGACTAACTCGCACCTTTTAATTTTTCCTTCCTGAAGAAGAATTTGCCCGTCTTGGCGAACCCAAGCAGGAAACACAACCCACACAAGAACGACAGCTGCACAGACAGACAGACACGTAAGCAGACAGACACACACACAGAGAGAGGTCCCGACGGTATTCACGGATCTGTGTCGCTGTGTGTGTCGGTATAGTGGTGTACGTTTCCGAGTGCGAGCAGTGCCCTATCGAAGAATAGCAGGACGCCCAGCCCCGTCATGGCCAGGCCCAGCAACGTGAGCCCGATACCGATCTTCCTGTTGTCATCAAACATCGTGGTCCTGCTGATGACGGCAAGGCTAAGGCTGCTGGCCTCCTGATCCTCCTGACGCGCCTCTCTCTCCGGCGATAAGAGCGGACGCAGTGTACTACGCGATGACAATCACGTGTGGACGAGACGGGCAATGGGTCGTCTGCGGGCGCAGGGGAGTGCTCAAACATCACCCTGGGGACACTCTCCCAACCATGCTACGGCCAAAACAGGCCAGTCCTCGCAGTGGATCCGCCGGCGGGTGGAAGTCACGGAAAGGCGGCTGGCGGATTTAAATTGAGGTTTGGCAGGGGTGCCGCTGGACGCGCGATAAGCCTGCAGTCTGCGCCGCGTGGGGAAAAGGTGATGTCAGAAAATTGCGAGCTCAAGCTGCGAGCTGATGAGGGGATGACTCGGAAGAGCTTATTCGACACGCCGCTCAAGAGGAGGCTCTTCACGGCGAACACCGCATCGGCTGTGGCGCTGATCTACATCTACTTCCGCTACATCCGCGATAAGAAGGAATCCGATAGCGACAGGCCATCTGAGCCTCCTCCCGGAACAACAGCTGACTCGCTCCACTACCAACAGCAGCAGCAACAGCAACAGCAAGAAGGGCTCTTGCCTACTGGCCGGTGGATTGACAAACCATGACAGACGACGACGTGAGCTGAGCTGAGCACAGCAAATTGCTGAGAGTATCACATGATGGACCGGACCGTGTGTGTCGCTGTGCTGTCGTATGCATTCGTTCACCTATTCAGGTGACCCGATTGTGGCGCTGCCGGCGGACGATCTTCCAGATGCTGCAGGACAGGTCAGTCAGTCAGTCACCGAAGAATTTGACTGAAAGCGACACCAGTCAGGTCAGCAAGGCCCGTCGTGTGTGTGCGTGCGTGTTGGTCAGGGACTACATGGTGGGGAGGAACTGCCTGCTCGAGTCGAGGGAAGACGTCTCGCAAGCACTATCTGAAGTCAGAAAGTGAGTGACAGGGCGGGAGAAGGCAACGCACACACGCATGCCGACACATGCACGCACACCAATCCAATGTGGTTGTGTGTCAGTCGTGAGAGTCTGGTGATATTTGTTCGTCACCGGTCTGACCCGACAGAGACGCTGGTGGTCTACTTCCCTGACGAACAGGGCAAGAAAGTCGGCGTCAGACCCATCGCTAAGTGAGGGAGGGAGCCTGGCAGGGAAGGAGGGAGAGTACGCAGCACACAGAAGTGACGGTCACTGCATGGTGTGGTGTGGGTGGCGTCTGTCCGTGTGTGTATGTGTCAGTTTGGTGTCTAAGATGGAGGAGAAGAACATCCCCCGCGCCATCCTCGTGTGCAGAGAAAAACTCACATCTTTCGCAAAAGAGGTACACACACACACACACACACACAGAGGTCAAACCCCCTGGCCACCGAGCGGCAATGATTGCCAGTGCATTGCTCCCTCTTGTAGGCCTTGAGCATGTCGTCGTCCAAGCAGCGGATCGAGGTGTTCATGGAGTCTGAGCTGCTCGTCAACATCACCGAGCACGAGCTGGTGCCCCGCCACGTGCCGCTGAGCGAGGTCGACAAGAAGGCGCTGCTCGAGAGGTACAAGGTCAGGGCCGACCAGCTGCCGCGCATCACACGCGACGACCCCGTGGCCAAGTACTACGGGCTGGAGAGGGGGCAGGTGGTCAAGATCATTCGGCCTAGCGAGACGGCCGGCAGATATGTCACCTATCGGCTGTGTATCTGATGCAAAGTGGGCGGCGGGTGGATGGCTGGCCTTTATGTGGACAGAATCGAACAAGGGTGGATGTGATTAGCTATCCTTGCTGAAGGGAAGAGACACTAGTACCCCTCGAAGTCGATTAACGCGTTTCTCGAAGTACTGCTCGAAGTACTGCTCGACGTCTGGCGATATGGGGTGCCCCTGATTGATTGACCAGGGGCACAGCAGACATCATGGCCTACTCCAAAAAACGGGAATCGGCTTCGCGCGCGGCCAACATGAACCACGCCTTGGTTGCGTATGATCGATTCAGATCACATCGCACGCACATACACACACGAGTCGTGTGAGTCTGTCTTATCAGTCAGTCTATGGACATGGTCTGTGGTATGTACACGCACACACACATGAACGAATCGAAGACACACACACGCAAGAGCGGCAAGAGCAAGTTGGTGAGACACCAATCAGACAAGCTCACGCCCTTTCTCACTCAGTCAGCTGCAGTGCGGCCCCGCCTGTCGGGTTATAAGCCCGTCAGTCTATTCGGCCGGCGAGCACTGCACCACGACCCAAGCCAATCGATCACTCAATGGCCTGTCTGCCTGTCTGTCCTCAGACACTCACATCGCACCGACGCCATGCCTCTTGAGGCCCTCCTTGTCTCTCTAAGGGCGTCTCTCACACAGATGGGCGGCTTGTCTGGCGGGCGATAGGCCGGGCTGCTCCACATCCACACACACTCGTGTATGCTACGCCGAGCTAGGGGCTGTGCCGTCTTGTGACTGACAGGGCATTGGGCGGCTGGGGCGGGGCGGCGGGGCGGTCGCCACTCCTCCTGGCCAACCACGGATGCGCCAGCGCATCGCCAGCTGCACAGGACAGCACAACACACATAGATGAATCCATCCATTGATTGGTTTGTCGTTGATTACCCGATTGAGTGCGTCTGCTTTTGTCGGCCGTCAGCAGTCGACACACGAGGTCTTTGGCCTCGCCAGACACCTCGTCGGCCTCGCGGAAAGTCACTCCCTGGACACACCACACCATCATTATGTTGGTCGGTGGATTGCATGTCTGTGTGTCTGTGTGTCTGTCCGACCCTCTTCATGGCCCTCAGGACTGTCCGTGGATGGCGGCTGCCTGTCTGTATGTCTGTGTGGTGTGAAGAGCATCTCTGCTGATGTTTTCAGAGCTTCAAGGCCTGCGAAAAGTGAAGGATCTCACTCAAGTGAGCGGATCATGCGATCTGACTTCGTCTGCAGCACCAGATATCCCTTTGGCCTCGGTCTGCATTCTATGGTCTCGTGTTATCCACAGAAAGCGAAATGCGCGGCGAGATTTCCGGGACGAGACGGCGAGAAGCCGCATTGCTGCCGCAAACCCTGATTTACGATTTTGACATCCAGTTTTACCATTTCCGTCCGCGTTCGGCTTTCCAGCCCTGTTTCAGCCACATATCCTTCACTTTTCTTCCTGTCAGCTGGTTTCTGTGCTGCTGGACGAGTCGACTGGCGAGCTGGCCCTCATCGACTTCGAGACGAGCCGCAACAGGCAAACCAGAGGCAGGCCAAGCTCGCCGGTCGCCCCGGCCAGCCCTGCATCACCCTCCACAACCGGCGGGCCATCACGTACGGCTTACACAACACTTACGAATTGCATCCAGTGCGACAAAGAGGGTCCATGGATGGGATGTGCGTGTTGTGTGTTGTGTTGTGTCTGTGTGTATGTCAACCCCCCCCCCCCCC